CAGTTCCTTGTAACAAGTTCTTTTTTAAAAATCGAGATAGAATTGACACATAACATTGTATTTGTTTCAGGTGTATAACATAATAATTTGACACTTGTATATATAAATAAATTTGGTATTTGTGTATACAGATGCTCCTTGACTTACAATGGCATTACATCCCAAGAAGCCCATTGTAAATTGAAAGTATCATTCAATCAAAAATGTATTTAATACACCTAACATAGCTTAGCCTTGCCTACCTCACATGTGCTCAGAACACTTAAATCATCCTAGAGTTGGGGAAAATGATCTAACAAAAAGCCAACAAAGTGTTGAATATCTTGTACTTTATGACATGCATTATTTTCACAGTCATAAGGTTGAAAAATCATAAGCTGAACCATCATAAGTTGGAGGCCACCTATTTTGTGAAGTAATCACCATAAGAACTCGAGTTAACATCCATCACCATACAGAGTTACAAATTTTGTTTTTCTTGTGATAACTTTTAAGTCTAGTCTTCTGGAAACTTTCAAATATACAATACAGTATTATTAACCTTTTAATACATGAATTCATTTTATTCTTACAACCATTTGATGAGACATGTAGCACCATTAATCCTCATTTTTCAGAAGCTAAATAACATGCCCAAGCTTATACAGCTAAGGAACAGCAAAGGTAGAACTCAAACCTGAAGCTCCTTTATTCCAATGCTTGTGTTCTTAACCACTGCAATAGATACGACCCCTCACACACATGTGGGAGGGTAGGGAAAGAGAGCAGAGGAGAAGAAAGCTGTGTATGACGAGACAGACTACGATTTTTAAACACAGGTAAACTATCACACTCTGCTGATCACCTGTCATCCATAACTCCTACACAATGATCTTGGCTTGGAGGCAAAGTTCCAAATGGGGCAGTCACAGTAATCCTCTGGAGACTTTAACGTCAATTTAATGGATAAGAAATAGAAGAACATAATTCTAGTATAATTTAACACTTATTTGCCTTGAAAGTTGAAAATGAAAACATTTTCTAAGCCTAAATTAAAGTACATCTTTTCCCTAAGGCTGGCTTTTAAAAAAACTGTAGTTTTTCCACATTTGGGAATTACGTTCTTAAAACTTACCAAAACTGGTGGTAAGATCGGTAGTACTAAGACAGTACTAATATTGCATGAGAATTATTTGATTAGAACTAAGAATTAAGCAGAAAAAATATTTTAAGTTACATATTAAAGCTTCAAAGAGCTAACAAGATACCACTTAATCAAGACCTGGGAGAGGATAAGATTCGAGAGAGATGAACCTAGAATTTATGGCTGCAATTGCCTTCAAATGTATGACCTGAAATACACAGTATTATGGCACATAAAAACCTAGTTCAGTCCCTGCCCAGAGTGGGATCTTGGTGCACTATGCGTTGGGCTGAGACCCTGAAGGGCTGAACCCCACGGGTACAGGTGAAGCTAAAAGAACCTCAGAGAGGTAAACTGACTCTCAGCCTCTTTCTTCCTTGGGGATTTTGCTGATGCTGGGCATAAGCTGAGGTCTGAGAACCAGAACCATAAGCTAGCAGAGAGCTGCTGTGAGGATAAGAAACCAGCAAGCCTTTATAGGAAACTAAGGGAGCCTCAAACATACAGCCAGTTATCCTGTTGGGATATGTGCCAAATCCTGAGGCTTTACAGAATGGGAGGCTAAAAATCTCATCGGAAAGCCTTTGAAAAGCGGAGCAGACGTTTTGGCAGTCTCACAAGATACAGACTAGAGTTATGAACCTGCCAGAGGGAGAAACCCCAATAAATTCCCAGGCTCTCAGTTAAAATCCCTAGAGGGCTATGTTCTTGGAATGAAGATGAGCCAAAAATAGCTTGAGCTTTACTAGAGGTGCAACCCAGCCTCCAGTCCAGTGTCCATGATTGGGTTAAGATGATTGACTACCATTCTAACTGCCTACTCGAGGGAAGAGAAACTATCTGGAGGCACAATGCAACACATTGCAGTGCATGCCAAAACACAAAGTGACAGGACCAGAAAGGAGACAAACACAGACAACAGAAACAGATCCATGTACTGGAGTCATTCAAAAAGGATTTTAAAATAACTATGTTCATGTTTAAGTAAACAAGAACAAGGGTAGAGAAAAATAAATAAAACAATGGATACTTTTAATAGAGAATTGAAATGTATCTGATAGAATCAGGAATACACATGGCAGTTCCTCAAAAAGTGAAACACAGAATTACTGTCTGATTCAGCAGCTCCACTTCTAGGTACAGACCCAAAAGAACTGAAAGCAGGGACTCGAACAGATACTTGCACACCAGTGTTCACAGCAGCATTGTTTACAATAGCCAGAAGGTGGAGACTAGCTGTGGTTGACCCTTGAACAATACAAATTTAAACTGTAGAAAAGCCCACTTATATGTGGCTTAAAAAAGAATGCTTTCTTTGCCATGGTCGGATGGCTCAGTTGGTTGGAGCGTTGTCCCCATGCAGCAGAAGGCTGCAGGTTCCATTCCCAGTCAGGGCAGGTCCCTAGGCACTGGGAACTTCTCCCCAGTCAGGGCGCATATGGGACACAGCCACTCAATGTGTCTCTCTCACATCGGTGTTTCTCCCTCCCTCTCTCTCTAAAGTCAATAAACACATCCTCAGGTAAAGAGTAAAAAGAAGATTTCCTTTTATATTTTAAAAATATTTTTTCCTGCTTGCTTTATAGTTCCAATTCCTATGTAATATTAGTATATACTGTTTTAGTGCTACTAGTTTTAGTAAATATTAAAAACATAATTCCCAAATACAGAAAGACTACATTTTTTGGAGCCAGTCTTAAAGAAAAGATATGTTTCAGGCTCAGAAAACTTTTTCATTATTTTCAAGTTTTATTAATATAAGCATTAAATTAGCTAGATTTACATTCTGCTTTAATTTCTTATCAATTAAAGGAAAATAATGAAGTGCTATAATTCACTCATAATAGAATATGTACCAACATATGCTTGCATTTTGAAGGTTATTGTATTAATGTAAGATAAAAACAAATCTGTTTCATTTGGCTTAATTTGTTAGAACAGTAGTTCTGACATCACCACATGATATTAATATTTCTTCCTGGGAGGGCTGTGGTGAGGATGGATTCTTTTCCTAATCAAGCACATTTGCTCTCTCTGGAGATGCACAACACACAAAACTGCATCAAAGACCTTGAGAAGTCCTAGTAAAGTCAGCTATTTACCTGTGTTTAATCTGCTATTTCCAAATACATCTGGCCATGGAAATCTTTTATCTGTGAAATACCTTTTAACGTGCTCCTAGGCACCTACTTTGAGAAGGGTTTTCTAGAAAAAGGGAAATAAACATTTCCAATAATTTTGGTTATTTATATGTTATTCTAGTTGATAGTAAAACTTCTGTTTCTTTCTTGTTCATTGAAGGCGAGTTTTGTAGGGGTTTTTGTTAGCTTTATGAAACTTCAGCTTTCCTTGTCAGTCTTTTCTGACATAGGGTAGGAGAGTATGAGCTTTATATAGAGGAATTAGGATCAAATTCTGGCTCCACCATCACAGGCAAATTCTTCTCTCTGAGTCACATTTCTGTATTTGTAAAATGGGCTTGGATGGGGGGGCTTTCATAGCATTATGATAACTATTAGTGGCCATGTAAAGTACCCAGAACATTGCCTGGCCCCGGAGGTTTCCCCTACCTTAAACTTCCTCAAGGATCTAGAATGACCAATTGGAATGGACATAAGATTGATATCTTTGAACCTTGATCTGGACTCTCCTTTGCTAATTAATCCCCCTGCTTCTTATACTTCTTATATTATTTAGCAATTCATCCCTTGCCTAGTTCCGAGGCTATAATACTCCTGTAGGATAATTTTTTTAAATACTGACTGATAGAATACCTAGAGTTAAATTGATTTTTATTTTCTGAGAATTTCAGAAAGCTCAGGTCCTCCTATATTATGTTCCTATGACACTTGTTACTGTAATATTTACTTTACCTTGCTGTAATTATTCATTTTCTTCCCTCATATAAGTTTGTTAAGGTCAGGATGTCTGGTCCCTTGCTATATGGACATACCTAGCACCACTGGCTTGGGTTAAGAGTAACCACTCAATAATTATAGAATCTTTAATGTTATAATAATTGCAATCCCAACAATCATTGTTAGCAAAAATATAATTCTCAGAAGAAATGTTTAAATATTATTCACATCTGAATATATTAGCAGAAAACAAGGTGTTAAATTTACTTATCCTCAAACATTTAAAATACAGGGTCGGGCGGAAGTAAGGCCTCCTCGGGTGTGGTTGGTAGGGTAATAATAGGGGTGTATAATTTATAGTTTTAATTTGAACATTTCACCTAAAATGTCATATGGTGTGTTTGAGTGTGACATTGTTATGTTACGGAATTATATGCTTATGATTTTGTAATAAAAAAGGGGCGTTATTTGTACCAGACCCTCTATAAGTGCTATGAAACCAACTACTAGAAATTACTACTAGAAATTTAATTACTACTAGAAATCTTAGACTGATTGAGTCATCTTCCTAAAATATAGCCAAACATTAGGATAGAAATTAAATGATAAAAAATGTATATGCTTTTCAGATAAATTTCTGGTATTTGAGAATGACTCCATCTATTCAAAATATGGGGTCTGGAAGGTTTCCTGTACATAACGCTTTCATACTCTAGACATTAAAAATCCCATCTGATTAAACTAAATTTAAAGTATATTTGAAAAATAAAAATCCCTCCTTGTAATGGAAATGTTCTCATACTAGTCTGTATTATATATTTAGACTTCTGAATATTAGATTTTTTCCAAAGTGGGGAGTATTGCCACTAACTTGTCCATATCAAAATACTGAGAAGCACAACTCTAAGGTCAAATTAACTTTCCCCTTTTAAAATTATTACACACATAAGTAGTAACTATAATGTTATCAGTATGACTTATTAATCTAGTTTTTTCTATATACTGGAAAATATACTTACTATTATTTTCTTACAGTCCTTTCCTCTGCATAGTTCTGTATAGGTGGAGTATTGCACATAAATAATCCAGCTTCCAACAAAAACTGCCAACCAGGAAAAGAAAAGATATTTCATCCGCACATGTGAGAAGCGAGCCTGTGAGTACAAAAGCACATAATCATTCATTCAGCACCAAATCAACATCTACTGTCCTAGAACACAATTTTCCCCCCTTCTTGAAGAACTCAATATATATTCTAGGCTTTCATATGGCAATTCTCCTAGAACAAAGTGTACTTTCACTGAGTTCAAACAGTACTGGTCTTAGAAAAGGAAGCTCCTTAGTCCTGCCAAGGAAAAGGGGAACAAAATACCCTTTAAAATGTATAACCTTTCAAATACCACCAGCATTGAAAGCTACTTATTAAGCACAAGCACGTGCACCATGCCACCCTGGACACCCTATAATATCAGGTAAAGAGAGACACAATTTCTATTTACTACAAACTTACAGAAGACTCAATATGAACCTTGAAGTTCTTTATGGACAATTATGCTAAAAATAACTGTGTTTTTAAAAAGTAAGAATAAAGAATTTGGCCAGTTGCCAAATGCTTCACAGTGAGGTACAACCAGAATAAGAAATCAAATTCCTACTTCCCTATTGTATTCACTAATGCCTTATGTTCCTTCTATTTAACCAACTAAATGCTTCACCTAATAGATATTCTGCAAAGCTGAGAATGTCAAGCAACTATTAAAGGAGAAATTATTGGCGAAGAGAGGTTAAGCTGTATAAAGAATACTTTACTCCTTGCAAGTCAGTTTGTAAAGCTGCAAAATAGGACCCTCTCTGCATTGTTTTGCTCCCAGTGCTCTATTATCCAACTGCAACTTAGGACAGTTGGTACCTTTTCTCCATCAACCTGTCAACAAAAGATTGCTGCCACCAATCTAAAGCCAATAGGTGTCCCCATCTGGGGTACAGTAAAAGGAGAAACTGTATTCAGGTGAAAAGTTTGCAAACCAGGGAAACATAGCAACCAGTGGAAATCAAAAGTACATGCCCCTGCCCTCTGAAAAGGGACGGGGCATGGCTTATATAGAGAATGTGCTTGCCCTGGTCCTGGATTAGTCCACTTTTATGCAAAGGAGAAATCCAAATTTGCAGTTTCATTGGTTCAAATAGCACTGCTCTGACTGCTTGGAATCCCAAGTCCTGATTGGTTCTAATGGAACTGCTGTGAATAGTCAGTAAAGATGCAAATGAGGATATAGCTGTGTAGCTCCAATTGGACGGGGCAAGTCTGAACCCATTGGTCAAAATATGATTCCAGGAAGTCCTTTATGAGGTACAGCTCAGGTAGCAGCAACTCAGTGCAAAGAGGCTGGCAGCTCAGTCTGAGGCTTTTTCCTGATAGGGGAAAAATTATAAATTTGGGCCCCAATTATAAATTTGGGCCCCATTAACCACAGGTATATTCCTTTTGGACAGGTATATTCCTTTTTGGAGTCAACAAAGCACCTATCAAACAGTTTAATCTTGATCCATTCATTTACACAATGGAATTCCATGCAGCAGAGAGAAAGAAGGAGCTCCTACCCTTTGCAACAACATGGATGGAACTGGAGAGCATTATGCTGAGTGAAGTAAGCCAGGTGTTGAGGGACAAATACCATATGATCTCACCTTTAACAGGAAGCTAAACAACAAAACAAACAAGCAGAATAAAAACAAAGACAATGAAATAGAGAACAAGGGGACAGTGACCAGAGGGGAGAGGGAAGGAAATTTAAGGGGGAAAAAGGGAAGGAATTTGGAGAAGCAAATATGAAGAACACAGGGATGAGAACTGGGGGGGGGGGGGGGGAAATGGGAGGGAGGTGGGGAGCATGGGGGGGGGGGGGCTGGGATGGGAAAAACAGGCAAAAAACTGTACTTGAAAAATAACTAAATAAAATTATTGAGAAAAAAAACAGTTTAATCTTCAAGATTGTTAGTCAAGATAATTTAACATTTCTTTTTTGAGTCTGAAGATCCAATGGTCTGGTTTTATAAACAGAATTAGGACTGTGGGAAAAACTGGGCAGAAAAAAATTAAAGATATGCAAACAAACAAACAATGAAAAGCTAGTTTTGCTTTTAAAATCACAAGCCAGTTTCTTAGGCAGGGCAACAGTAGGATCCTGTGAGTGCTGTGAACATACAATGAGAGCACAAAGAGACGAAAAAGACATAAAAGTACACCTACATAAGACAATGAGTGCAAAGGAAAGAAGACTCAGGAGGTACTGAATTCTGTTGGCCTTACTTATGGTTTAGATATCAGTCTTTGTAAAGTTAACAGATGGTGAATCCCATTACCAAAAGCATAAGGGCAACAAATTCACAGTTAAATAATAGGTCATTAAACTTCATTATTTTATTTTTATTAAAATAATTTTATTAATTTGTATAAAAATGCCTTTAATGCAAGGTATTTTTGTATAGTCTAAATGAGTCCAGTGAAAAGAAAATTCAGACAATTTCTAATTCAATCACATAAACAACATTGGGGGTGTATACCAAAAGGTTTGTTTGAAAGACATTTGAAATTACTTGGCCCTGAAATAAGCCAGTCAGAGAAAAACAAGTACCATATGATTTCACTCATATGGGGAATCTAATGAACAAAATGCACTAACAAGCAAAACAGAAACAGACTCATAGATAGAGAGCAGGCTGACAGCTGTTGGGTAGGAGGGGTGGAGAAATTGAGAAAAAAATAAAAGAGGGAGAGAGGGGGGAACTCATGGACACAGAAAACAGAGCAGTGACTGCTGGGGCAGGGGGAAGGTTGAGGGAGGAAGGTAGAAGAGTTATAGGGGGAATAAATGGTAATGGAAACAGACTTGGGGTGGTGAACACACAACACAGCATACAGATGATGTGTTGTAGAACTGTGCACTTGAAACCTGTATAAGTTTATTAACCAGTGTCACCCCAATAAATGCAATAAAAAGGAAAAAAGCCAGCTCTAATAAGAGGTCTGGTCAGCAGATAGAAATGAATATGTAATAGAATTATGAGGCTTAAATATAATTAAATGACATAATACCTATAGAAAGTAAGTACATTCCTAGGCACATAGAAAAATACTCAGTAAATGTTAGCTAAATCAATATGCAAGGCACTAAGCGAAAAGCCAATAATGCGGCCATTATTCTTTTTTGCACCTGCCAAGAAGAAAACTGAATCTGAATCTGATCAAGCCTTTAGCCCCAACTACCAGTTTACAGGAAATACAGGAGACAGAGGAACCTAAGTGACACTTACGTAAGTGACACTATTAGGATACAATCAGCAAACTCTAGGCTGTGGGAAACGCAGCAACACGCAACCCAGTTTCTTCAACAAATAAATTATAAGGGGGAAAAAAAAGAGGATGGGGAAAAGCTAATGATTAAAAATATTTAAGAAATAGATCAAATAATCACAATATGTGAATTTTTAAAAATATATGGATCTTTTTTAAGTCTGATTCAAATAAAAATATATGGAGGGTGGTATTTATGAGATAATTAAAAATTTGAAGACTGATATGATACCTGATAATATTAAGGAATTCTTTTAATATTTTATTCAACAGGTATGCTAAGGATCTGTGGCGATGTTTTTTGTTGTTGTTGTTATTATTGTTTCTTTATTTTAAAGATTTTATTTATTTATTTTTGGAGAGAGGAAGAAGGAAGGAGAAAGACAGGGAGAGAAACATGGATGTGTAGTTACCTCTCACACCCCCTACTAGGGACCTGGTCTGCAACCCAGGCATGTGCCCTGATTGGGAATCGAACCAGCTACCCTTTGGTTCACAGGCCAGCACTCAATCCAGTGAGACACACCAACCAGGGCAGGTCTGTGGCAATGTTTAAAGAAAAAAGTCCTAATCTTTTAAAGATAGATATTGAAATATTTATCAAAGAATTGCTATATCTGGAATTTGCTTCCAAGTAATATGGGAAGGGAAAAGTATGGAGAATACGGTTGAAACAAGGTTGTCTGTGAGTTAATAATTGTTCAAGCTGGGTGATGGGTACATCCCTTCTTTTGTATATTTTTTCTCTCCTGCTTTAAAAATGTTTATATTGTACAATAAGACAAACTGTCACACCAAGACACTCCCCACCCACACATTCATTCTGCAACTATTTACTGATTGTCTACTATGTGCCAAGTACTGCCTTAGGCACTTTCAACACATCTCCAGTTAGGGAAAAACACATAATAAATCTACCACACAAGTACCACTAAAATAGTTAAAAGTGTAACGTGAAGGATCATAGCATGATATAATTTTACTTTTAAAAGTCCAATCTTGTATTAAGTTAATATTTTACATGATTTTTTCCTGGTTTGATAGTATTTATATATATGTATATGTATATGTATATGTATATGTATATGTATATGTATATGTATATATGTATGTAATTATTTATTTTTAATTTGATTGCTGTTCAAGTACAGTTTTCTCCATTTTACCCCATCGTTCCCCAGCAACCCCAGCCATCCCCACTCCCCATCCTTGATCCTACCCGTCTTTGGCTTTGTCCAAGTGTCCTTTGTACATGTTCCTGAAAACCCTTCCCTTTTTTCCCACCTCCTCTCTGCTTTCTGTCAGTATGTTCTTAATTTCAATGTCTCTGGTTATATTTTGCTTGCTTGTTTGTTTTGTTGATTAGGTTCCACCTATAAGTGAGATCATATGGCCTTTGTCCCTCACCGCCTGGCTTATTTCACTTAGCATAATGCTTTCCAGTTCCATCCAGGCTGTTGCAAAGGGTAGGAGTTCCTTCTTTCTTGCTGCTGCATAGAATTTCATTGTGTACCACAGTTTTTTGATCCATTCATTTACTGATGGGCACTTAGGTTGCTTCCAACACTTGGTTATTGTAAATTGTGCTGCTATGACAATTGGGGTGCATAGGTTCTTCTGAATTGGTGTTTTGGGTTCTTAGGATATAATCCCAGTAGTTCCCAGTAGGAACTGCTGGGTCAAAAGGCAAATTCCTTTTTTAGTTTTCTGAGGAAATTCCATACTGGTTTCCACAATGGCTGCACCAGTCTGCATTCCCACCAACAGTGCACTAGGGTTCCCTTTTCTCCACATCCTCTC